AACCTTGTCTTATCATTGTAATAATATATGTACATTGTAGAACGTGTAGATATACATGAATTTTTATATCCCGGACAAAAAGAAAAAAAAAATTGCTTTTTTTTTGGCCGGGCACAAATATATTTATTATATATATATTTATATATAATATATATATATATTAGCATAGGGCGGCCCTCCGTCATCCCTCTTCCTCCTCACACACACGTATTCTATATATTATCATATATATAAATCACTCAACGTTATTACTGAATTATTTTTTTTTCTTCATTCTTCCTGTTGGTTTTTCCGATTGCTTATCCACGGAGGGCGCGCCTCCTCTGCCAATAAAACAACATAATTCTCGTTTAAATTATGTTACAAACTCTATCTGTACAATCATCCTAAAATCAGCAATACGCAATCGCTTAATTTCCTCTCTTTTTTCCCTTCCTTCCTTTCATCTCATTATATAATTATTATTATGTTTATTTCATTATTTATTATTTATATATTATTATTTTTTTGCTCGTTCTTCCTCGTCTTCGCCTCGTCCACATCTCTCAATATTATCATATTATCATTATATATATATACTTTTTTTTTTTTGTTTGTTTAATTATTATCATAGTGTAAAATCTTGATCATTAAAGTACGTACTTACAATAATTGTTAATTATATATAATATATATCCATATATATTATTATTAATATTCTTAAATTGTAAAAGTTGAAAGCGTCCACAGAAGGAATATGGTTATTGCTCTTTTTTATTTGCAAGAAGCCGTAAAATACAAACATCTTCACTCTTTTTCCATCAGCTTCTGCAAACACTTCGTCCATCGTATTTTCAAATTAATTTTTGCACAAAACTCTTTTTTTTTTGTTGAATAATTTTCGTTTCTTTTCTTTTCTTATCATTATTATTAATAATTTTTTATTTTGAGGGTGGCGGGTCCGGATTCGCACCCGTTCATCTAACCGGAGAAAACAAATTTTACGGCGGGTAATTTAAAATTAAGATGGGATCAAGTGTGTTTTGCGAAGCGAAACAAAATTACATTCCGTCGGCCTCTTGCTTAAAAATCGTTACATCATCAAAGTTGGTATTCGCAAATGTTTTATATTACTTTCGATAAGGTTCTTTATCATACATTTATATTTATATACAACTTGCACTCGATATTTAAATTTAATTTAAAGTTAAGAATAACTAAAGGTAACACGATAATGCGCGTCGCATCTTGAAAAAATTTAAAAAAAAACAAAAAAAAAATTAATTGAATTAAACAATCGGATTTTGTTTATTGAATTCGAAACAAGTCGATAAATCCCATGATGTGGGATTCGAATTAGCTTACGTTACATGAATATTGTCGAGTACAATCAATTTGGGGGATTTTATTTATTTTATTCAAGTTTTTGGTTACATAATTATTTTTTTTTGTTTCGAGGTTGTTGAACATGCTGAGACTATTAAAGTTAACGACGGACCCGCCGAGCTCTGTCGCTTTGGTGATATGTTGTTGTTGTTGTTATTGTTGCGTGGATTCCCCACGACCACTCGCTGTTATTACGTAATCATTGACTAATTAATTTGCAAATTTTTGACTTGAAACGCAAGCTGCGGCCTCTTTTATCTATTTATTAGCTTATTTTCCCTCGTGTTTGTATTGTTTTGTTTCTTTGTTTGTTTGTTTTTTTTCTTTAATTAAAAATCCTTCGTCTTGGCTATCTATGTTATCTTTGTTCTTTACATAATAATTCCTTTAACTACCACTTAAATACGCAATATAACACAGTATCTGATATCAAAATATAATTATCGTAAGAATAATAATAATTAAACGTAAATGAAAAGATTATTCATAATTCTTTAGTATATATATAATCATTATTTCATAATATTATTATTTATATATTTTTATTTTTTTTTCTTCATCATTTTCTTTTGTTCTTTTTTTTTTTTGGATTAACTACCTACAATTACCGTATTGCTCTGGATTGACATTAAAATACTTTATTTTCTCTCTTTCTCTCTCTCTCACTCCACATCATCTCCATCTTCCATTCTCTTCAATATATACTTCCTTTTCGCTCTTTCCTTCCAACGTTTAAATTTACTTTTCTTCAGCTGCACCGAAACGAAAAACGCAGTCACTGTATTGACATTAGTATTGACATATTATAATATTCATTATATAGTTTGTTTGTTTGTTTTTTTTGTGTGTTTTGTTTAAATTATTTATATCTTGTTATATAAGTTTAAATAATGTACCTTTGGTCAGTTCTCGCTGAGCGCTCGCTCGGAGCACCGGGCGAAAACCCTTCGCGCTGAAGGACTCTCCGGGTGATCCGGGCGGCGCTTCCCTGAAAATCCGCGATTCCCTTTCCCTAAACTCATGTAACACCGCCCTCTTACAAAAAAACAACAACTATCAAGACACAAGAGAAATTATATAATAATTATAATAATAATAATAAATAAACGCAGATGAAGAACGAAACGAATGTATAACATAAAGACGTTACAAATTAATTTAACTATTATAGAACGGTCAATCGTTGCGATCTCTCAATTCTTTATCAATTCAATTTATTATCATCATAACTTTCTTTAATTCATGTCGTGGTGTATGGGTGTGCATTTTTTTTTCTTTGTTCGTTCTTCTTTTTGTACTGAGGAGAAGCGGTTCCTTCTTCTTCTTCTTCTTTAATCGCCATCATCATCTTCTTCGTCATCATCATCTTTTTTTCTTTCTTGCATTCAGTCAGACAACAATCATAATAATTATTTCATTTAACAAGCCGAACGGCGAAATATTAATTAATCAACATAAAAACAATAATTATAAAAACCATAACACACCATATATATAATAATAATAATAATAATAACTCGCACGGAGGATTCGGCGTTTTCGAAGGGTCGCCAAGAAAGGTTTTTTTTTTCTATCTCACAAGAAGACTAATTAGTGTTTTTTTTTTCATTGAAATTCAAATCCAAACGAAACGAGAATTTTTTTTATATATATAAAAAAAACGAAACGTGGATCAACCCTTCGAGGATCCGACACATTGATCATAATTTTTTTTTTCCTTCATCATCATCATATATATATAGAATATTCACTTAATAACAGGAAACATTTATATAATATATACTTCTTATTTTTTTTTTGCTTTGTTTTTGTTTTGTTATAATTTTTTTTTGTTTGTTTTTTTTTGTTAAATTGATCTGATCTAAAGCTAAACAATCAGACAGATCTAAAAAGGGTTATGAGGAATACGAGGACACTAAAAGCTACACAGACGTGTGCGGCCCGCGCGTTTTTCCAAAAAAAGATACAACCCCCCTTTCGCTAAAACTATCGGAACATCAATTAACGTAAAGAAATTCCAAGAAAAGATGTTTCAATTGAATCGATTAAGGTTTTTTTTTGAAGGTTGCAGTTGGTGGTGATGGTAAAACGCGTGGGCCATCCCGAACAACAATTATTTACAAATTCCTTAAAATATTCAGTAAAATGTATACATATTGATTATTCTTAAAAGTTACAATTAATATTATCATTATTCATTATCATTAATATTATTATTATTTATTTCTTGCATATATATAATATTATTTTTTTCTTTATATATTCTGTGTGTTTGTGTGTGTGAGAGAATGTGTGTGTAGATGTGTGTTAATTATGTGTAATAATTATTAATCTTTTTAATTATACTCTTTTTTTTCTTCTTCTTCTCTTCAGTTAATCGGACGACACATTTTCCTTATTAACACAAAAAAAAAATAATAATATTAATAATAAACGAGAATCAAGAACGAATTGTGTAACTTAAACCTAATTAATCGGAAGAAGAAAAGAACAAAAGAAAGAAAAAAACAAAATAATAATAAAAGGAACATCTCTTTGCTTAATTTCATTCTGTACAACGTAACTAATTAACTTCCATCGTCATGACAATTAATAATATTATAACAACAGAAAAAAAACAAAATGATAATAATAGTAACTAACTAAATCGAAAAGAAAAATTAACAAATGTACAACGAAAGTCGTTTCAACTATAATTAATTAATTCGTTAATAATTAAAAAAAAAAATTAAATAATAATTTGTTAGTTTTTCTTTTCATTACACCAAATTCGGCATTGTACGGTTGGCGCGGAATTTCTTAAAACTCTGTCTCAACTTTTCTCCTAAGTGAATTCTGGCTCTTCTTAAAATCTGCTTCGTTTCTAACTGTTTTCATTAATTACTTTTTTTTTTGTTTTGCTTCATCTTCATCAATATTTTTTTTTGTTTGTTCCTTGAGAATTCGCTTATCGCCACGTTTATGCCTCGTTGGTCCTTATAATAATAATATGTGAGGATAATGTATCCCATTAAAGATACCCTGTAATATATCATATGTAATAAAACGCAAAGACGTAACCAATGAGTGCCTGTGTTTGGTGGTGGTGGGGGGGGGGAAGCCGCGTTTATCTTCGGAGACCGCCAAACGGCTTCTTCGATCTATTATTATTGAGTATCATTTCCGTTTCCCTTATTTTTTTTTTTGGTTTGTTTTCAATTGCAAATTAAACGAAATTAAGTAGAGAAAACCGAGAAAAACCAATAAAAAAAAAATTATAGACGATGCATCCTCCCAAACAACGCATCTGCAAAGGTTATTTTTAAATCGTTGCAAATTAGTATGTTTTTGAACCTTTGCAGATTTGTATTTGTTTAAAAATCAGCAACAGTTGTAAACGAAACTTAAGCAGAGAATAACGAAATTACTCATCTTTCTCAATCAATCTGTGTGTGCTTATGTGATTCATTTTTTTGTTATTCGTTCTCTGTGTATTTGTTAATATATTTTTTTAGAAAATGCGGGGTCGAGTATGATTTGTTTTGCTTTGGAGAAGGAAGTGTTGTGTCTTCAAAGCAAATTTTTTTTATTCGTTTTTCTTAAAATTATCTTTTTTTCTTCTTCAAAAACTGTGGGGGTAAAGTATTTGTTTTTGGTGGTGGTGGTGGTGTTAGTTGTTTTTCTTTTGTTTACAATATTATGCAATGGTTTTTGCGGCCACTTGGCGGGCTCCGGTTTGGGGGGGGGCGGCGAAGCGGCACGTTGACACCAAACATTACAACAACAAGTGGGCCGCGCCTAGCGGGGGAGGGGGGGTGCTACATTATTATTATACTTCTTTTTTTTTTATTATTATTATACACATATAGTGAATGTACAAGTGCAGGTGTGAGATGACACAGTCGAGTCGAGTCACACAACACACTAGACAAGATGTCCAATAGCTCAGTGATAGCCGTTGGTAAACGCAGCGGGGATTAAAGGACCCTGGAATTAGAAATTACGTAACGATGTAATGGTAATAGATCATTGAAATAATGTTAGATTTGTAAGTGAATTTGATAGGGAAATGAGACTTACCGGACTGTAGTTGAGTGGGGCGCGACTGACGGCGATAGCAGGGAAAGTGGATGGCTGAGGGCTCGCAGCCTGGACGTAGCCAACGCTGTCTCCTGCACTGCTGTTGTACATGTCGATGGTGGGTCCAGGAGAATTGGCCGCAGGGAATCCACCCCTGGTGTTGGCCGTATGTGGGGAGGCCGGAGGACCGAAGCCCTGGGCAGCCGCCGCCGCCGCTTGATAATTGTTCATGACTGCAAATGAAACGGAGAAGTGGTGTTGGGGCGCTGTTTGGTCGGCTCCTGAAGGTTGGCTCCAGTTCGTCGCCGACGACCCTATACGAACACAACATACTCTCCTGGAGCCGACCGAAGCCGCTTTCAATTGTTCTTAAATTTCTTTTCATTTATTTATCTTTTCTTTGCGTTCAACCTTTCTTCCTTTCTTTTTCAATTCGAAAAGACACAAAACACAAACTTATTTAACAGTAAAAGAAAGGAAAACGGAAATTGACCGCAAAGAAAAAAATACGAAGATTTGAAGGAAAGATGCATTCTCTTCAGATTATATAAATATATTTTTTGTTTTACTCAAGAATAAGAGAAAGCCCCAAACATCGCAACCCAATACCAATTAGCAAGAGTGGACAGCAAACCTGACTTGATCGACAATCAACTCAAACTTGTTCCATCACTTGATTTATTTGTCTTTTCGTTACAAACTAACTATAGTATATGTATAGATGAGAACCAAAGGATAACAGATACAGAAAATAGGTCTTACTTTAATCGCTTCAATTGCTACAATACTAATAAACACATGCCTTCATTCATTTAATTAACTCACTTAATTAATTTGATTTTTGCAATACAATTTTACATGAAATTAATTGAAAGAAATTTCATAATTATTTTTAAGTATTATANAGAATATTTCGATAATTTGAAACTCATTTAATGCTCACTTAGTTTAATTACTATAGATTTTAACGTAATTCTCCATAAGATCATAAGATTATCCATTGAAATAATTTGATTTTTGCAATACAATTTTACATCAAATTAATTGAAAAGTTAAGAAGAAATTTCATAATTGTTTTTAAGTATTGTATAAACTTTTGAAGTATGAAATAACATTATTCAACTTTAGTATTCATTGATAAAAATGTAAAAGAAAATCTTATGAAATCGAATATTATTAGAATATTTCGATAATTTGAAACTCATTTAATGCTCACTTAGTGTAATTACTATAGATTTTAACGTAATTCTCTATCAGATCATAAAATTATCCATTAAAATAAATTGATATTTACAATACAATTTTACATCAAATTAATTGAAAGAAATTTCATAATTATTTTTAAGTATTGTATAAACTTTTGAAGTATGAAATAACATTATTCAACTTTAGTATTCAATTACACTTAAATTGATAAAAATGTAAAAGAAAATCTTATGAAATCGAATATTTCAATAATTTGAAACTCATTTAATGCTCACTTAGTTTAATTACTATAGATTTTAACGTAATTCTCCATCAGATCATAAGATTATCCATTGAAATAATTTGATTTTTGCAATATAATTTTACATCAAATTAATTGAAAAACTTTTGAATTTTTAAAAAGAAGAAATGATTCGTATTTCATAATTATTTTTAAGTATAGTAAAAGGAAATCTTATGAAATCGAATATTTCGATAATTTGAAACTATTTTATTGTAGTTAAAGTGTCTAAATTAGAAGTAAGACAAAAACTACACTTGTTTATTAAAATAATCTTGGATATTCAAACTGAATGTTCGATAAGGATTCGTTGCACCTAAAAAGAATCGTATTCGTTGAAGACTTGGCAGAATCTTAAGATTTGTTTGTTCTTTATATATATATATATATCTATATTTTTGTTTCTTGTATCGAGCCTAATAAGTAAAGGATTAGTTAAAGAGTTAGCCGGAAGATAAAAGTCGGTTAATTTACTACGACAATAATAATAATTGGTGCATGCATTATTGATAGTATACGGAAAGATCATCGTGGATATCTAATTACCTGACAATGCTTGAGTCAGCAGTGGGGTATTATTGTTAGGTGTGAGCTGTCCGTTGGTTAGATCCACTGGAAAACACATAGAACACAATGGATTAATTGAGGACACGGTACACAATTTACATGCTGTGAGTGAGAGAGTGTGTGTATACAAGAACGTGTGTGTGTATTTGAACGTGTAACTGTGTGCAAATGTTTAGTGACATGTACAAGAGCGTGTGTGCTAGAGAGAGAGAGAGAGATGGAAGGAGAGATAGATCCACCCTTTAATATTGCAAAACCAGCAACGAAAAACGGAATTAAAATTTCCTCAATATTTTTTTTTTATGATGGATGAACTTTTCGCCCTGTCCTTCCACTATATATATACTATACTATACACACTATGCATTTGTATGTGTATAGATAGATTCGACAGGAGCCGTTTCTTTCCGAATCCATCTATCATCCATAGCAGACAGCTTTTAATATACGGAGTAAAACGAAATTAAAGGGCCGATTCTCTTCTCCTTGCACATTACAAAAACGCTCTCAATCTCTCCCTCTTTCACACGGAAACAAAGCTTAATGAGAACAAAGTTCAGTGTTTCTTTTGCATTAATAATTTGCATGTAATTAATTGATTTTTTTTTTCGTATATATATTTTTTTTTGTTACAATCTAAAACAAAAATAGAACACAATTGTTAATAACAAGGAGTAATAATACTATTAGGCTCGCTAGGTTCTGCCACACTCATCTGATCTGTCAATCAATTAATTAATTAATTAAATTAATCAATTAAGATAATAGTAATATCTCATTTACTACGCACAAAAAAACGACTATTCTATTGCCACAAAAAAACAACTCATCTGTAGAGATATTATTTATCACTGTTTATCCATTTAAAAACCGTACTATTCTAATAGAACTATGTATCTGATCTATGTTATAGTTTTATGTAATATAAATATAAACGTAATTTACATATATAAACATCGTTTTTTTTTTGTAATATAATAAAAAAACACACGTCTACTAATATTTCTCTATTCTAAGTTCTAAAGAAAACCAAAAAAAAAAAATAATGTTACAATTTGATTCTTTTTTTATTATTATTATATATAAATGTAATTATATATAATTAACAGAAAGACAACACCGATTAGTGTTAAATTAATTTTGTGGATTTTGCGTTTTCAACTATAAAATCTAATAAGTTTCGGTTAATATTAATCCACTGGTTAAAGCTACTACGGCTTACTAAGATTAATAAATCTCTAGGTATCTTTAAACATCGAGTTTTAGTTAATAAAACAAAAAAAATAAAATAAAGTAACAATTAATTAAACAAATAAATAAGGATACTAATAAATTATAAATCACATGACTTCTATGTATTTATTATATAATAATAATAATAGTATAAGTAAGTAAGTAATTTGGTCTAAATTGATTACTCGCCCCTCGTAAAATCCTTCTTTCTTAATCATCCGGTGGGAGTCAAAGCACGTTGGACACACTTCTATTCTGATCATTAAAACCACTGGAATTCTATATCGATTCTATATATATATATATATATATAACCCTGTCATTGTTTTGCGCTGCGTGCACCGTTTGTTACATAAACTTATATACTCGTTTTATGTGTATATGTATATAACTTCCGGTGAATTCGCATCCGGTTTTGATGATTGCGTTATTTGTTAATGAATAGGGGAGGTATTGCAGCGCGACAATTAAATAAGCAATTAATTCCTGGATTTGTTCGGGTCTCTCTCTATCTCTTGGAAATTGGATGCGGAGGCATTTGTAACGCGCGACGCTCCATTAGTCATGTTCCCTGGATCCTGGTCGTAACATTGTCTTCCTCGCCTAATTGATCCTATCAATTCGCGTCTTTAATTGGACGCTTCGAAACTGCTTTCATCGATCAGATTTCGTTTGTAGCGACAATCTGCGTTTCGTGCGAACGCAAATCAATAATCCGAACGTGGGTAAATTGTAGCTGATGGTTGTTTTTTCCTTCTTTTTTTTTGATATGAAGATGTGGTTCAACCGCTTTGAAATATGTATGAAGCGTAACCGGTCTATTCCGAGGAGAATTCGAAGAAGTGCAGGAGGAAAGAAAGAATGTATATGTGGAAGGAATGACTCTTGCAGAAATGAAACAAATCGATGGAAAAAAATAAGGGGAAGAAATACGAAAGAAAAAAAAGAGCAGATGTTCGGAATTCAGTTTATACACATTCCCGAAGAATTGGATTACGTAAACTTTTTTTTTTTCTTTATCTTTGTAGGGTTGAAGAAGTTCAATTTTCCATCTTTTCGGTTTAATGAAGCGCGCGAAATTGCGCTTTCCAATTTCCAGCTTTAATTAGTTTCAATTTTCGAAGCAGACATTAAAAATTTCTTGATTAAAAATTATCGATTTTTTTTTTTTATAATCTACAAGAAATTGTTTCTTGAAAGATTAGACAAGTGTTTTGTTTCATTATTTTGGTTATTTGTAGCATTACAGAATGATTTATGTATTGTTGTACATGAAATAAATAAAAGCTGTAGTTGGAATACGCAAAGATATTTCAAGATTAATTCGTAAGTTTTCTCCACAAAAACAAGGCAAAAAGGACTAACTGGGTTAGATAGTAAGTTGTGTGCATTTGGGAGGATGGATGGAAAAGTTTTTTTTTTTCTTCGGATGAGTGAAGGCAATCTCCATTTAGTTTCTGAAACCTAAACCGTGTCCTCCCTATTAAGGATTCAGGATGTTCGGTGTTCGGCAGCTCGCTAATTAATTATTCCCGTTTTGCCGGAGTGCCATTCGATCAGACTCACCCTTCAATCCTTCCATTCCATTCCGAAAGGTCATCCAAAATCATTTCATCCAACGAAAATAACCATCAGCAAAATCCAGAAAGTAATGCAGTAATCATAAAAAAAAAAAACGGAGATGCAAATCCACCACTGCACAAGGCAATAACAATTTTTCCCTTAAGAACTAAAGTAATCACAGAAATAAATATATAAAAATACTAACGTTTCATTCTTTCTTTTTTGACTTCTTCCTCGTCTCATATATTTGTCGATATTGGTTTTTTTTTTTTATACATATTTCACATTGTTTTATTCCTTCATTCTTATTGCTTAGAACGTACGTTTTTTTTTTTTTTGATATATAGAGATATATTTATATATATATTTATATAATTATAGTGTTGACTTGCAACAAGCAACAGTCTTAATATTTAAAAATAACATCGAATACTTATCAGAGTAATAATAATAATAATAATTAAGTTACATAATATTTATATTTATAACACATTGCATTAGAGGGTAAACCGCATCGTCTTATTAATTTCTTCTTCGACCTTACACACAACCTTGCACACGCAAAATTTACGTAAACGAAACGAAACAAACAAAATACGATTACACAATTCAAAATCGTGTTTACTTCCTCATCTTCGTGATACGTTTAATATATATATTTATTCATATATATATATATTTTTATATAATTTTATCCTCGTATATATAACAACTTCGATTCGAAAGTTTCCTTAATCTATACGTTCATATGGCGCATAATAAATATCATTAATAATCGTTTTATATTTTTTGTTGTTGTTGTTGATTGCTTTTCTTTACTTTTTTTTTTTGGCCGCTCATCTCAATGTTCGCTCATCTCGATGTGATTGAAGAACGCAAATTCTTAAACGGTTGCAAATATTATTAAAAAAAAATTGTCAAAAAAATAAGTGTTTTTGGGATAAACGGCTCAAAAAAAAATGACAGTCGAATGCTTGCAGGTGCGTAAAAATAATAATAATAAAAAACAAAATAATTAGAGAAGGCGTAGAGTTCGATCAAACCGAAATTGATTGATTTCTACTAAATCTTCGTTAATCCAATAAGTTAATTAAGAAAATCAAAATATGATTGAAACATTGTAATTGATTTTACTGGTATAAATCATGAAATCTTATATAATTGACATATTTTTTTTTTAAACAATTGACGTTTTCGTAATCTTGATTGATTATTGATATGATAAAACTAATATGAATTTAAGTTTGAATGCAATTTCGGTTAAGATCAAAATCTTCCCTTTTCGTTGTCTTTAGGAATAAGCGCGCCGCGGATTGGGATGATCCCTATTTCGGACGTGTTCACCTAACTTTTTCGTATTCTTTTAGCTCTTTCACATACATAATTTTTGTCTCATAATTATTTTTTTTTAAAATCATCTTTTTCTGTTGTAAACTACTATACCATGCTCCTGTGAACAACGCTACCGTTTCCGGTTTCCCTTGCGCCTCCTTGACCATCCGGAGAAAGGATGTGCAAGAGAGGAGAATGTGCAGGATCTCATCATAAAACAAACGTGAAGAAGCACCTTTCTCCAAAAAAAATTTAAACAGAAATCCTTATACAGATTTCCTTATACTTAATTTTTTTTTTGTTATATAACCATTAAAATATACGATTTTTTTTTAATTGCGTCAGTGTTAAATTGCCCAACCGCGGCAACAATTTTTTAGTTAATTACTTCTTTTTTTGTTTCGTTTTTTGTTTTTGTGGATGGAGGGTGGGACGGGGCCGCGGATTCGGCGGCTGAATCAATCGTGTGCGTGCAAATGCAAAGATAGAGAAAGAGAGATGAAAGGAGGAAAAGATGCAGAGAGATAGACAGAGATAGATTTTTGAAATATTGAGAAAGAGAGGCAACGAGGTGCTGACTTTGAAAAATATATAATTCTTCTCATTAAACTTTAATTGAACAAGCGATTTTTTTTTTTGTTTTATTATAATTATATTCTTTTATTTTACGCAACAGATTTCTTTTTTTTTTTCTTTCAAATCCGCCTTCGCTCCAAGAAATACAAAAATAAACGAATTCAACAATTTTTTTTTTTTCAATTCTTCATTTAACAATATTCACTTAATTTTAATATCCTTTTTGATAATCAGTGTTATTTATATAAATTCGTTTCGTTTGCAAACTTCTTCTCTTTCGGGGAGGATTTATATAAATAGCAGATTTGGACGCTTTGATGTGTTTTGATAGAGAGTTTAGGGGGGTTTGTTTATAGGATTGGAAAGGAGGGGGCACGCAAATACTAAACTGAAACTATGAAAACTGACTGAAAAAAAAAAAACAATAATAATCGACTCGAAATAAATGTGAACGTTTTCTTTGAAATTTTCCTTCATATACGTATTTCGTTTCGTGAAATCCGGAGGGGCGACACTAAAAAATCTTTAATCAGATTTATTTATACCTAACCTAAACAGTAAGTAACCCTAGTAACGCTAGTAACTACAACCTACCGATTAAAATGACCTACTTATATTTTTTTTTTTTAGTAAATTTATTTTATTAGTAGATAGTTCTATCTATTAAGAGTACTTCGTATCGTATTTTATTAATTTTTTTTGCTTTTTTTCTCAATTATATAATTATATTTTTTTTGTTGTTGTGGATTAAGATCACGCTTATTTGATTGCGTTGCTGTTAATTAATATCTCGATTATTTTCGGTTATTTATTTCATCTGGATCCATATCTCTTTTGTTTTTTTTTCTTAAACAAGAGTGGCTCTGTTAATATTTTTGTTTTTGATGATACATCTGGTGTTATAGTATATGTGGGTATATATATATATGCCATTTTCCCGGGGCCAAACTCCGAGTTAATGCGGACATTATTTATGCATAAAGGTCTTAATTGCATTGTCAAATTTTCAACTAGCCATGAATTCTAAATAGCGGCAAGAAACGCCTAACCTAAACCACCGCCACCCCTCGCTGCTGGAGCGTAGGGGATGGTTGGGTAATCGATAATGTCAGCTGTTAACCGTCGAAGTGAAGCGCGAGGATGCATTAGTTACACTACTTCGAAGGGATGAGGGAGTTGGGTCGGAAGAAAGGAGACAGAGAGAGAGTAGGGCTTTCTCAGAGCGTACAGATGTTTTGTGTGTGTGAGAAAGATAGAGAGATGTAAAGATTGAAAGATAGATAGAAACAGAGAGAGAGAAGATAGAGGGTGTTTCTGAAGTGAAGGGCATTAAGTATTAAGAGATATAGATAGATGTTCTGATAGAGTAGAGAGTAGTAGTAGTAATGAGGGCAAGGCGCTCGTTCACAGGGGCATGGCATGCAGGCTGGCCGGGCCACCGTACACCCCCAGGTGTTCCAGGGGGTACGGAAGTAAGGGCAGCGGATGGTGGTGATGTAAACTGGCCAATGCATTACCTGTAGGATACGGTAGTCCGAAACTAGGATATCCCGAATAACCTCGACCGGCCGCATAGGCTGCGTACGCGGCCGGAAAACCTGCAAACAGAAACAGAAGATTAGTACAACAACCTCAAAAAAGTACAAAGAAAAATCAGTTAAAATTCGGCGTTTTGCGGTAAAGCCAAAAAGCAGTAGGCGCGTTTTACCTCATCTTACTACAATCTAAACCGTCGTTGAAACGTTGAAAGATAAGTTTATTTTTTGTTTTGTTGTTTTTGTTACTTACCGTCCGGCAGAGCTCCAAGTGACCACATAAAATCTATAAAAAGCAAAAAAAGTAAACGGTTAGTAAACTCATCCAGTAAACGAAAACAAAAAAAAACGCAGAACCGCGCGAAACAAATATAAATAAATTGAAACAGAAAATAAAAAAAAAACAAACAGAACACACTAAGATCAAAAGAAAAAAAGGAAAAACAAAACTAGTTATGTGAAAGTAAATTAAATAATTAGTTAGGAGCATCCATGAAATTTCTCTCAGTTCAATTGCAATTTCTCATCTTATTTAAACATCTCTACCGTGTCTAAAATCTAGTAACTCAACAAAAAAAAAACTCTATAAGTATAAGATATTTATCTATATACATTTTGCATCTCGCAGAATTAATACTTAATTTAGTTCAAAAATTTAATCTGTTACTAATCACTAAATTTTCTTAATTAATTTAATTTATTTAGAATAAAAAAACTAGCTTTATTTCAATTAAGTGTGAAAATTTGTTTGTTTGAATTTGAAAAAAAGTTTTGTTGTAGATGCAAAATGTATATGAAAATAAATAATAAAAGTAATGTAACGAATTTGAAAACTGTTCTAAGCTGTTTATATATATATAAATTTAAAAAATAATAAATAATTTTTTTTTTGAGCATCTGCAAGTTCGCATTCGACGCCGAACATATAGATTATGTAATTATATTATATGTAATAATAATAATATTGTATTATGCACGCATCTAGTCTAAACAACTATAGTTCTAAACAACTAAGTGTATAGATTAAAACATTTAGTCACATCGATTTAAGTATATAGATTATGTAATAATTAGCCGCTCTAGCAGCGGTGACTTAGCTTAGATAACTCACTTTTAATCAAAGAAGTAAACCAAAAAAATAAATAAATAAATAAATAAAATAATTATTATATAACAGAAAGTGAGTAAAGTAAAGCGGACAGCTAAAACAGCGCAAAGTTTAGATAGAAAATAAAATTGTATATAATACCTCGTCCGGTAAATACTTTTGAGTTATAGGTAATGTTTCATATTTTTTTTCTTTTCGTTAAATTATGCTTTTGATTAACCTAAACAGAAAACCAATAATGTAATGTAAAGTCCCTTCAATTTCGCTAAACTATACAATAAGATGGAACATAATTACATAAACAGTTTACAAATTTCACAATTAACAAAAGAAAAATATATATAAAATGTAAATTGAAAAAAAAAAAAATTTCCTTCTTGTAATTGTAGATGATAATTTCGTTATGGCTACAAGCTATATTATTCTGTATAAAATAAAAGCAAAATTATTCTCTTTCGTATTGGAGCGAAGGAGAAAAATGTTTGCTATTGTATAAATTGTTTCTGAAACGTTAATTTATCTTTATGGACTAGAGCTAAGGTTTCTTTCGTTAAGTAATTAGTTTCTTCACCTAAAAAAACAAATATATAGTATAAAATAAAAATTTAAAAATTAAAAAAACAAACCAACTCTGACGATTACAAAACAACATCTAGAGAAACACAATTTATAAAGTATGTTCGTTATTCGTTTATAAAAATTTATGTATGTTTATATATAAATAACCTATGGCTAGGAAACTGAAAACAATACTAAACATAGTCCATCTTTATGCTCTTTTCTTTTCGTTTTGCTTCTTTTGAATTTTCTTGTCTCAAATGAAAATAATTGGTTAATTTTTCGTTTCAGAAATTTGCACAAATCTCGTTTAAACAACACGTTGAAATTTCATGAAGACTACAATATTTATTTAGAGAGAAATAGTGTCCCAAATAGTGATGGGTTTGAGACGTGACGTGACGGGGGGGGGGTTTTGGATGGTCTAGGTCTGAAGTGCGCTACAGTAGTGATTCTTCCAAAAATAAGTTTCAACTAATTTTTCTTTTTATTAATAAATACTACCAGTCTTTAGGTTTCCGAACTTTTTGTACTAAGCTAAGCTGAATCATCGTCTAAATACCTGAACTCGCTGCTATACGAAATGAAACGTGAATCGCAATAATTTAAATAAATCAATTGATAAAGACTCTCAAAAATCAATTCAGTAACTTCTTTTGTATACTTTTGAGGACGTTTCTATAATCGGTTATGAATGGTAAAATGAAGAAGTGTTAATTTAATTTAATTTAAAGATTGATTTGAATTGATTTTGAAGAGAATTTGGTTTGGGTGTTGTTGCTGCTCTTAGAGACCTAGACCAGCGGACAGAGTGTTCGCGTAGATTGCGGAAATGTCTAAGCCCTGGACGCCGAGCAGGTCGTTCATGGTGTAGGTGAGCTGCGGGGGTGGTCGCGCCTGCAGAGGTCGCAGGGTTGCGGGGGCGGCGAACACCCTCTTGCAACCCGTCACGTCGTACACGGTGGAGGCGTAGTGCAGGGGAGCCGGAGCGACGGCGATGGCGGTCAATGGGATGCTGTGTCCAGCTGCCGCCGCCACCGGCATTCCTGCACCTGCCGTGGGTATCGGATAAGGGGTGTAACGTAACGCGGATGTTGCAGCAGCACTCGCCACGGGGCCTGCATTCATCAATAGCAACTCACCGTAAGTGCCGCGGCCTGCTGCCCTGGTCTTTGCCAGGTTTGCTGGTAGCATCACTTCTTTCGGCTGAGCTTTCTTGCACTCGACCTAAACAAGAACAAACAGACCAAAAACATAACATATATTAGAAAAAACGTTAAAAAAAAACCATAATAATAATCATTAAAGTTTAAGTCAGAGAAGAATCATAAATCTTAGTCTTTTTTTTAATTAGCAAAGAGTCATAATTTACGTGAAATGAAAAAAAAATTCGCAGCGACACCTGTTTTTTTTTTATTACGCGAAAATGGGTTTTGTGGCGTGGGGGTGGGTTTTTTTATAAAAAGAAAAGGGCGAGGATTTTCTTTGGGCTCGTTTTCGCAGTGGCTGTTTTTTTATGAAGGGTTTGAAAAAGTCGGGAAAAGGAAAGAGAAATGTATGAATTTATGTGAGGCATAATATTTTATGGTGAATCCTGCGTTTGAAAACGGGCTGACTGCAGGAATTATATTTGTGTGTGTTTGGGGGGGAAAGAGAGAGGGTGAGAGAGTTGCAGGAATTGGGCATCGGTTTTTGGGGGGTTGGCAAAGTTCAAGAGTTCCCTCAGTAATTGGAAGCGGTACCCCTGCAAATCACTCTTGATTGTAAGACATGCCATTGGACGCGGAAACAGACTGGAAGATATATGGGGAAGGGCTCTACTATAAAGCTAGGGCTTGTAAAGTTTTAGGAGTGCTTTGTCAGGGTAAAATGGGCGCATGGAAATTCCGCTTGCGAAATCATATTCGGGATAGTGCACACACAAACACATATGTCTCCCGGAAAAACCACGTTTCTTCCTCATTTTCCTCATCCTCGCAATCATCCAGAAACAGCATCAAAGTGGATGGAACATTCTTCAGGAGATGGCACGAACTTTTATCATCAACATACAAAAGTTATGCACACTCCATATAACATCAACAACAACAAAAAAACGATGTGTTGTTTGCTTATATTGAAAAACGATCGTAAAGGAGAGAAACTCACCATTTTATTGTTAATCTCGTGGAAGTGGATCTCGCAAACTTTATCTACGACGTCCTCACTTTGAAATGTAACGAATCCAAATCCTGAAAAGATACAAGAAAATAATATATAGAAATACAACAACAACAATATATAAATATTATATATATATATAAAAATAAAATTCAGACATGTTACATGTGCAAAAAGTTAGTTTCAGTTTAGTTTTGTGCGGTCGTAAGGGCGAAACTGCATCAATGTCGCAGCTTTCCGATGTCATTTGTTATTTGTCCGTTCCGGCACGTTGGTCACGGAAAAGTTTCTCGCATTTTTCATTTTCTTCATTTATCCTATTTATTTTTTTTTAAGTTTCATCCTTTATATATAAATGAAGCCGTCCGTAGTTTCGACTTATTTCCAGGATAAATGTAAATCCTTATTAAAGCAAAAAAAAAAAACATCAATCAAACTACAGATTTATATTAAAATATAGTCAAAATATTTTGACTAAATGAAGAAAGTTATATAAAAAAATTTTGAGAGAAGGTTTTAATTTCAAGTGCTTTCAGTGATGAATTATGAAAATATATGTTGTTTTTTTTTTGCTGTGTGGTTGAAATATTTCAATATTTCCTCTTTCGCAATTTTTTTTTGCTTCTTTTGCTCGAGAAAAATAAAATAAAATGTTAAGCACACATAATTTTAAATGGAATATGAAAGAATATTTAGCCTCGCGTTGCTGGATTGAGAGATGGAGGAGGAGGATGGGGAAAGAGGAAGAGCGGGATTTGGGACTCGAGGAGCTTTTCCTTCCCATTTCCCCTTTTCAGACCAACAGATAGGCAATAACTCATCCTCAAGCGCTCCTCGTGACAGGCGAGACCGCGAAAAGAAGGAAAACCCGTCGATTCAGCGAAAGCTCTCTTCTTCGTAGAGGAGAAGGAGGAGGAATGAGAGGAGGGTTGTTGGATGGTGGTGGATGTTTCCCTCCCTTTTGTCGCAGCCGGCGCTTAATACGCCATCTCATATCTCCGCATTCTAAATGAGATTAAACGATATGTGCATACGTTTTTCCCCCACGTTTCCATACACTCGTAGGCGGCTGCGGTGGAGGCACGGCCTAGTCGACGTTGGCGGCGCTACATCAACTGTAAATAATGTGCCCAAAGGAAGGAAAAACACAGACACATACCGATGTTATACTTGCATCATTTTAGCACACACACACACATTTTATATCCATCCATCCAAAAAGCCTTTCCCCCTTTTTACGATATTAAATCCAACGAAAAGGAGCAAAAAAAAAATAAAGGACGACGAAGGACGGAATACTGATTCATCAACATCTTCATAAATCCCCAACGCAGTTTAAAATGCTGAGAGAGAGAGAGAGAAATGCAATTTTCCGACTCATCTCTTTTCAATTCCTAGGCCTACGCTTTTCATATAATAAACCCAAAGTCATCATCTCATACCATTCCTTTAATATAAATATAATAATAGATATGATTATAACAAATGAAGATTGTCTTATTATTTCTATTTCGAAAGCATTTCCATAAAGATTGCACGAAATAAACAATGTCTATGTTTAATTTAATAATGAACTAATTTAAAAGTTTGCTTAACTTTATTAATATTTCAATTTCCTGAACTCAGTTCTGCATTTGCATAATTAACAAATCTAATAGTTTATTACATGCATAAACAAAAATGTATGAATTACGTTTTTTTTTTTCATCATTAAATTCGCGAAACTTTGTAAATATTCATTAAATACGGAGGAAGAGAAGTGGTTGTATCTGTTTGGATCGATGTGGTAAGATTGTAAACACATCGAAATAAAAATAAGAAAGTCAACTATTAACCGACATCGAGTTTGGGTACATTAATTTTCATAAAACGGTTTCGGTTTTTCGTGGAAGGGTGGAAACATCCCTCTCGTTTTTTCTTCCCCAGTGAGAAGGGGAGGAGAGAGAGATAGTTTCGGAGACAAACAAGTGATTGGGGTGGATTGTTATGGGGCGCCCGACAGTCGTCCAGGAGAAAAACGGGAGGGATCTGCAGAAGTTTCGCATAACAAGGCATTCACTCTTCGTAAGATGATTGTGTTACGTGTCGAGTAAAAAGTTATCAAATTGATTTGTACAATTAGTTGCAACAATTATTTTCAATTAGACTTTAAATCGATAAAACGTTAATTGCGATAATTGTTTCTTTTTCCACCTGAGACGTTTGCTGTGCATTCTCTTTTCATCCCTGTCGTGTGTTGTTGTTATTATTATTATTACGTGTATGTGTGGATGTATATTCAAGGGTTCATGCATAATGTTGTGTAGTGCCTCTTGTGTCGTTGTAGTCCGCATAGTGGGGCTTCCCCTAGGAGGATATCATTATTGTATGTACAAGTCGGTGCTGAGTGGTGACATTTCCATGGCCCTAAGGGATTCACGTAATTCCGCCGTTCTCTGGCTTGCTGACATTTCTGCACCCAAATGATCCATCCCAGTAAACTACACTGCGAAACCCCGGCGATTCATTATTAATTTCAAACATACCTCTACACACACCCCCATTCGCTTTTAATCTTCCCTTTTTCTATCTTTCTGTTTGCTCGAGGAGCATTCATTCCTTCAATTGCTTCGGTCCATAATTTATGTGGATACGTGCGTTCGGGCGGACGGAAGAAATCTTCCTGGATTTTGAAAGGACTTTCATCCGCTCCATCCGTGGAGTGAGAAGGAATAGGAAAGGCGGAGAGGCGCGATTCCCAGGGTCAAAGTGGCTCTGAGTGTTTAATGATGCGAATAAACGAGAACATACATCGTTAGTCTTTAACATGCTGTGGAACTGAGCGCCTTTGTGTGATCTCTCACCCATCCACCCACTACCATTCGGTTAATTGTACGTTCAATTATACACCCCCGACGCGCCCGGCTTTTGAAAGAGATTTTTCCCTTCTTTTACTTTATTTTCGCCTTAAAATATATCGCTTCATTTTCACGAGAGAGAAAAAAAGACACGCTTAACAAATAATAAATAAAAGAAGATGTAAAAATGAGCGTTTTTTCTCTTAAGTCTGGGGTGGCGCTTCCTCACGTACCGCCGTTAAATCATCCCTGTGCGCTTCGCGCGCCGCCACCAAAGCATTAGATATCTACATTAAAACTGTCAGATTATGCCGCCGAAATTTGCATAATTGCCGCTAATAAATCCAGATTATACGAAAGAAATTCCACACACACATATAACGAAAAACCACCCCTAGAGGAAAACGACCAAAAAAATAAACTGGGGAGAGAAAGAGACAAAAATTTATACGTGTATAAATATATACAGGGCGTGGAATGCGATTATATCAGTGGATGCAAAGAGGACACGAAAAAAGTTTATATAACGCTGAAATAGATTCAGCCGACTTGATTTATTACGTAATTCCTGTAAGATTCCGTTCGCGGCAGATATAATAAAAAAAAATAACGAAACCTTCAACGGCTAATGGAGTAAAAAAACGCGAGGATTATTAATATTCTTTACGTAACAGTGATGACCCATTTCATATTAGAATTATCATTTCTTTTTCATTTAAAGTATATTATCAATTTATGCAAATAAACTAAATTTTCAATACAAACTAACGTTAATCTTTGAAATTTTGTTTAATATTAGACAACTTTATACATATTTTAAATTTGAAATTGAAATTGTGATATTTATAAGGGTAGTAAAGAAAGATGTGTAGAATTATCATTTTTTTTCATTTAAACTATATTATGTTAATAAACTAAATTTTAATACAAACTAACGTTAATCTTTGAAATTTTGTTTAATACTAAACAACTTTATACATATTTTAAATTTCTCATTGAAATTGTGATATTTATAAGGGTAGTAAAGAATGATGTGTAATAATTGGTTTTAATGAAAACTATAAAATTGTATATAAACTAACGTTAATCTTTGAAATTTTGTTTAATACTAGACAACTTTTAAAATAAATTTCTCATTGAAATTGTGATATTTATAAGTAAAGAAAGATGTGTAATAATTGGTTTGAATAAAAACTATAAAATTATATATATATATTACTTTGCATACTTTCCTTCAAAGAGTGTTTAAGAGATAAGTTGATATTGTCTCTAGTCATCGAAACACTACAAAACTTGTAAGATATAGTTTTAATTTTCAGCGACAATTTACAAATATTTACGGTATTTTCAACATTTCATCTAAATCTAATAAATTTCTTAACTTTTCCTGAAAGAATGTTTAAGAGTCAGGTTGATATCCTCACTAGTCTTCAAATCACTACTAAAATAGTAACATTTAACGACAATTTACAGTTTCAATATTTTCAACATTTCAAATGACTGAAAATGAATTAATGGAACGAAAGGATTAGCTGTGAAATGAGATTATTTCACGACGTTGTAAATTTTTTTTTTTCATCAAATTTAACACTGATTAGGAAGAGTCGAAATATAATTTTAAATTCATTATCCTCGTGCAGAATTTGATATTTATATATGGGAAGCGTTCTTATTATAGTCCTCGGGCGTTTCGCATTCCGTCCTCGCGTTTAAGCTTTCTCGTTTGCTATTTTTTTCACTCTCTTCTTTTGGGTCCATTCTGTTTGCTTGTTTTTCGGTCGTTCTTCGTTTCCACTTTATTAGTCGTAAAGTGTAATCTGCCGGGCGTTCTCGGAGCGCCATGCATTATATTTGTAATAATGTGGCACCTAATTATTGTGGAGAGCCATAACGTTAATCCCTCGACGGAATACTAAATGCGAATTTTCGCAGTCATAATGCGCCGCGCTACATAAATTTTCAGTGGGGGATGCTGTAAAAGATATTGTTATTGTATGGTTTCGGAGAACGCTCGGTTTGTTTTCAGTGGAAGTCCGCGTGTATTACACACGCACACGCGTTTTATTCCCCGACATTAATTTATTTTATAATTACTTCCCTCTTGCACCCTCGCACTTCGACCAGAGGATAATGGACGTTCCTGGATGGAAGGCAATCCCGGAATTATTCAGAACCGAATCCTCTGGATGGATAGGGTAAAGCTTTGTTATTATTTTATCAGGTCGCTAAGAGGT